GGGACTGCAAATTGGTGTGGCCAATTTGCAGTCCCACCAGCAATGTATAAGAGTACCCTTTTCCCCACATCCTCGCCAGCACTTGTTGTTGTTTGACTTCATAAAGGCTGCCAATCTTACTGGAGTGAGATGGTATCCTAGGGTGGTTTTGATTTGCATTTCTCTGACTGCTAGAGATGGTGAGCATTTTTTCATGTACTTGATGATTGATTGTATGTCCTCCTCTGAGAAGTGTCTGTTCAGGTCCTTGGCCCATTTGTTGATTGGGTTATTTGTTATCTTATTGTCTAATTTTTTGAATTCTTTGTATACTCTGGATATTAGGGCTCTATCTGAAGTGTGAGGAGTGAAAATTTGTTCCCATGATGTAGGCTCCCTATTTACCTCTCTTATTGTTTCTCTTGCTGAGAAAAAACTTTTTAGTTTAAGTAAGTCCCATTTGTTGAGGTGGGAGGGAAAGGGAGAGAAAAGGGAAACTGCATAGAAATGGAGGGAGACCCTCAATGCTATACAAAATTACATATAAGAGGTTGTGAGGGGAATGGGAAAATAAACAAGGAAAGAAATGAATTACAGTAGATGGGGTAGAGAGAGAAGATGGGAGGGGAAGGGAGGGGGGATAGTAGAGGATAGGAAAGGTAGCAGAATACAACAGTTACTAATAGGGCATTATGTAAAATTGTGAATGTGTAACCGATGTGATTCTGCAATCTGTATTTGGGGTAAAAATGGGAGTTCATAACCCACTTGAATCTAATGTATGAAATATGATATGTCAAGAGCTTTGTAATGTTTTGAACAACCATTAAAAAAAAAGAAATAAAAAGAAAAAAGAAAAAAAAAGAATGTCAGTTCTGTTAAAATTAAATAGTCTGATTTTATACTGTTCTCTGAAAATATTAGAATGACTTTTTAGATTATTTGAAGAATGTCATTAATGTGTAATGGCAAAAATGTAAAGCATATAGTATGAATAAATCCGAAGGGGCTTATACAAAGAAGGGGACATATTTTAGACAGTGTTGGATTTGCTAAATTTAAAGCACTTTATGGAATTATTTTACTCAATATGCTACCTCAAGCATGTGGCAATGTAATTCTTTTATCTTTGTTTTTTATTGGATCTTTTAATTTAAACATAAGGATTCATTTTGATCAAATTCTAAAGCTTCATTTTTTTCTTTTAAATTCAGTCCCCAGTAGATACCCTTTTTTTCACCCCCCC